ACACACACACACACACACACACACACACACACACACACACACACACAAAATCAAAACCAAACACAGAGAAAAAGTATAACTAGGCTCCATTTCTGTTGACGCTATTTTTTACAATTTGACCGACAAGCCAGTGTATTCCTCACCTAGGTCACGTGTGATGTCGGGTCTGGTCAGACTGTCCATTTAATTCTTGGACCACCTGAGCTTCTCGGTCCCCGCTCACTAGATGACCTGTGGGTGATTGACGGGTGTTCTGGTGTAGTGGCGGTGGGTAGTGAAGGGCTCACGGGCTTGAGCGCCTAGCCCTTCCCCACCCACCACCCCCAACTCTATCCCAAAATATATGAAAGTTTCTCCATAATGAAATAAGCAGTTTAAACCGTTATGACCGCATGCAATGAACACAGAGTGATCAACTTTTTGGCGGCTTGCTCGCTTATCCAATCATTGTTGTCACCTCGTACAACTATAGTAACCGAGCAGCCAATCAATCTTTAATGTCCTTAGGGCCTAGCGAAGATGAGCCCTTTCCCACAGCCCGTACTTAATGAAATTCTTCTTGTAAAAAGGTAGACAACTGGGAAAAAATAACACTGTACCGAGGGCTCACGCTCTCCTTGCCCTGACAATGGGGTGAAAGTTAACGACATACTTTCCCCCACTGACTCAGATACCTATGCGCTCATTGGTTCTTTGTTGCGTGCGTTCAACTTTCTCGACTACACGGCCTAATCCAGCTCATAGAAGTATTATGTTTGAAGTGCTGTGTGTGCATGTTTGTGTTTGTGCCGCTGAGATTTAACAGTTATAAATCAGATCGAACTACTTTTAAGGCAACTTTTTCATCGCATGAAAACTAATTGGAGGAAATTTGGAGGTGAATCGGCTTTGTCCCTACCATCAACAAGGTTTTAACTAAGAACAAAGAGATGGAAAGCAAAGGCAACTCTTCTCATCTGAATGGTTCCCAAACTGCCGTGGCTCACCGTGAGTATAGAAACATCGTCACTGTTTACTTATTATTGCTCGCTATTTGGTGGTAAAGAACTGGAAGCAACCTAATCCCCACAAAAATTTGGTCCACCCACCGCCTCTGCTCTGGTGTGGTTTGCTTCTTCTTTGATTTCAAAAATAGATTCTACATTTCTTTTCTCTCCTTCCGTATTGCTATGTTTGTTACTATCGTGTTATACCCCTAATCTTCGGGACTTTCGTAACTTAATCGTACGTCGAAAATGACGTAAAACTCCTAATAAAACTGAACTAGGAGACACATGTCATATTTTTCTATGGACAGTAATGATAATTATAGAATATACTAGCTGGTCCCCCGTTCGATGAACAGATTGAGACAGAAGCGTATTGATTGTTCCCAACAGCAAGAAAAAAGATTTGACAAAGGAGTTCAGAAAAAGCGATGATGGCCATCAAACGAAAGAATCACAGTCGAATTCAGCACCAAATAAAAAAAGAAAACATGAGGCTAGATCTAGACGGGTCGCACACTTAAAATAGGGTTCAGTCTTGCGCGACAGTGCACAATAGTATCGAACGGAAGTACGACTTGAAATAAACAAACCTGGCGGATTTTCTAAAATTACAGAGACAGAAGCGTCGGCCTACAAAAGCGATCAGCGAAATAAAGAAATTTAGCTTTTTGCAGCAAAACTGTCTCAAAACTGAAAAAACCAAAGGCGTCATGATCTGGAGAATATTCTAAACGAAAACCGCAAGTCGATCGATGCAGCTATTAAAAAGCCTTTTGAATAGCAAAATTCGGCCACAACAAATAGATAATAGATTATATGATATTGCATTTATTGAGCACTCAACCTCGATTAAAATACACAGGCTCTGAGCGCTTTACAATACAACAGTAACATTATAATCAGTACACTGTGTTCTGACCAAAAAAACATGATCTCTCTCTCTCTCTCTCTCTCTCTCTCTCTCTCTCTCTCTCTCTCTCTCTCTCTCTCTCTCTCTCTCTCTCTCTCTCTTTCGCAGAGGTGAACAACTTGTGTTTCGAGCGCTCATATGACCTTAGCAGTTGCGAGCGCCGTAAAACCTTATACTATACATACATACATCTCTCTCTCTCTCAATATTCAACTCATCGATTTAAAAATAGAAACGACTTTAGCTGACATAAATTGAGGAATCAAAGGATATGATATCTCTTGAACTACTGGGCAAGGCTGAACAGATCTTTGGGCCTTGACGTTCAAATGCCCTTTCACCAACTTTTTTAGTTTCACGGATGGTTAAAAAAAAATTCTTTTTGTCAGCTGATGATCTTAAACTGAGAGTTTAAATGTACAGCGTCAACAGATTTGACAAAACATGTCATGACGGCGCAGTATCATTTAAGCATTTGTGACTTCAAGTTGTCAATGTGTACATAAGGTAATTGTTTTCTCAACTGGAAGCCAGTGCAGCTTCCGCAAAAGACTTGTGGCACAGTTTCGCTTTCTTTTCTTTAAAGCTAAATGTGCAGCATTGTTTTGAACTGTTTAAAGTCGTTTCTCTTTCTGCAGCAATATCCCTGATTACAAATGAGTTAAAATAATCAAGTCCTGATAAAACCAAGCTATTTACTGATAAAGCAGTATTCTAAGTCTAGTACTGCTTAGATGACGTATTTTGCAGATTTCTTTATAATTTCTAAATACATGCAGCTTATCAGATGATTTTTCCTCCGACGACATTGACAAACTAAAATCAAAATAGAAGCCGAGATTCTTAACTTTTCTTGGACATGCAGATTCGGCATTACCGATTTCCATGTGCTCGTGGTAAACCTCATTAACGGTCTTTGCATTGCCTGCCAGAATGACGTCTATTTTATCATCGTTCGTCATCGATTTGTTCATGTTCATTCAGTTTTTCTTTTTTACTGAAGCAATACAATTTGCAACACGATGGACAGGTTCATCAAAGTTGGTAAACATTGATGAACTCTAAATTTGGTTATCACTTGCACAAAAAAGATACTTTAGGTCATATTTAACTCTTTCCTTGACAAGTGGTTGAGTATGGTGAATAAAATTAGACCGAGGACTGACCCAGATGGATCCTATACTTAAGTGCGTGAGTGAATATGTGTTTGCATGAGTATGTAACACTATGTCTCTTTAAAATTGATTTGTAAATCCATTATATGTATCATGTTAAGCGCATAGAGCATTGCATAAGTGGATATGCGCTATATAAATGCAATCCATTATTATTATTATTATTATTAAGAGCATAATCTGACTACTTAAGCCCTTTAGTAACAACAGATTGGTGCCCTTTTGATAGGGAAGAACAGAATCAGATAAAGGCAATCTGGGATGTTAAAAAAACAAACTCCAATCTCTACAAGGAAATATGATTATCAATTTCGTTAAAAGCTGCAAAAGATGTAAAAGTTTCAAGCAAAGCAACTTTTCCTGAATCAGTCAGAAGGCATGTCACTAGGGACTTTAAAAAGTGTTCTGTCTGTGTTTTGTTGTAAGAAAGATATGCAGACTGGAATGGCTCTAACATATTTTTTTTTCTTGTAGTTGATGACAAAGCTGCTAGAGGACAAACTTTTCAAGGGTTTTAGACAGAAAAGGTAGATTTGAAATAGGTCTATAGTTCTTTAAGAGATTCTGATCTAGGTTTTGTTTCTTTAGCAACGGTTCAACAAGACCAATTCAAAAGGAATTTGGTACTGATCCACACCCAGGAGAATCATTTATGATTTTGTAATAAATGGAATCCGTTCACCAAAGCCAATTTTGCAAAGTTCAACTCACATCAGATCTGTATGGTGTCAAGAACTTGTGACTTTCCGGGATGATTTATTTAGTTTTAGTAGAGTTTTACTGCGCTCGCAACTGCATTAGGTCATATGAGCAACAAGGGGTGGATGTCACCAGAGAAATCCATACAGGGAATCAGTCTTTCTCCTGTCACTTCAACAGCACAAGGTCTGCTTCGACTATAAAGACACCCGTGGAAATACCAGGTCACAAAAGAGTGACAAACATACAAAAGAAGTATAGGAAATGTGACGACAGTAAGGATTAGGAAAGGAAAAGCAGCAGTTCCCTGTTGCAGTTCAGGCTCAGTTATGAGCATGACATTGATGAATCAGCCCATGTATAATTCTAGTATGTATAAGTATAAGAACATGTTAATGCTGCCCCCCCCCCTCCCGCCTCCCCTTTTGGGAATAGCCTCCAGGTCATTAGCACCGCCCAGGGGGGGGGGGT